GACGTATTGTCTAGACCTGAGTAAGACGCATTGTCTTGTTTGCTTGATACAACGTATACACATCACATTTATGATCAACATCGGCCACGCTTACGCTTGCACTTGCAAATAAAAATGCTATGCCTGCTGTATAACGCTAGTGTGGCATATAGTAAGGGACTAAGGGTGCCTGAGCCCGCTCAGATCGCGCGCACTCGCTCAGATGCGCTGCCGTATAAAGTTGATAACTGAACAACCACCATCCCGATTTTGACGATTTTTTTTTACTATCCTGGCAGGATACCAAACGTTGAAATCTGGTATCCAACACAAGAGTCTACTATCCCACGGATATCGGGATACCGCTAATTTCGACCCCTGACTTCTGTAGCATTTCGTCCCAATATGAAGAAAACCTCCCCTTTTCCTTTACGTTCTTCTCTCCTAACCCGTATTTACTCACGGCTCGCTGTGCAGCACCCACAAATTTTGAATCAAACTGCAAGAAAAAAGTCCCACCCCAAAAGAAAACTCCAAAAATTGAACGTTCCTAACGATCTCCTCCCTTGTTTTTCGCCGCAGCGCCTCTGCCGCCGGCACCAGCAGCCGAGGAGAAAGCAAAGGATGAGGAGGAGAAGGAAGCGCTCTCGAGTGCAGGCTCCTCCGCGAGCAACACGGGCAGCGAGGAGGGAGGAGGAGGAGGGGGAGGTGATGGCGGAGGCGGAGGCGGCGGCTCGGAGGAGGGAGACGGCGGCGGCGGGTCGAGCCGAGAGGGCACGCCGGGGCCGCTGCCGGAGTACCAGTACAGCCGCAGCGACCTGCTGAAGATGCGCAGCCTCGGCGTCTCCAAGAAACGACCCGTCTTCCTCTCCAAGGTCAGTGTCTGGGGGTGAAGGTCAGCGAGTGTCTGAGGGGTGAAAAGGTTGGTGGGTGATCTCTTTGAGGTCAGTGTCCGGGGATGAAGGTCGGTGGGTGAAGGTTGGGGAAAATTGAGTGAAGGTTAAGGGGATCCTCTCTGAGTTCAGTGTTTGGGGGTGAAGGTTGGGGGGATCCTCTCCGAAGTCAGTGTCTGGGGGGGAAGTTTGGGGGGATCCTCTCTGAAGTCAGTGTCTGGGGGTGAAGTTTGGGGTGATCCTCTCTGAGGTCAGTGACAGGGGGTGAAGGTTGGGGGGATCCTCTCTGAGGTCAGTGTCTGGGGGTGAAGGTTGGGGTGATCCTCTCTGAGGTCAGTGTCGTTGGCGGGTAACGTCTTCGAGGCCGGGAACCGGGATCGAGGTCGAGTGCCATCAACAAGAACGACGATGAATTGTACAGGTGTAAGTGATCTTGAGCGAGGTTGCATGCAGTAGTGCACGTGCATACGTGCATGCGCGCATGTGTGCGTGTACGTGCGTGCATGCGGGCGCGTATGTGTCTGTATAACCGTGTGTGTACGCACGCTTGACGGATGCTTGACTCGGCCGCGTCGTCCTTTCTTCGGCAGGCCTTCGACTCTGCCAGCGGACTGTGGGACCCGGACCGCTGGTGCACCGGCAAGACCCGCGTCGACTCTCCCTTCGACAAGGAGGGCCGGCCGAAGCGAGAGCAGCTGCCCGACCTCGACCGCGAACTTGGTCTGAAGAGGAAGACTTCAGGTATGGCAGTTGGCGCTAACGTTCCTGTCAGGGGAAAAATTTAAATTAATTTTTCGGGGTCTACTTTTCAAGCTCGCGTGCATGAAAATAGCACTCTAAAATTTGGTTTGCATTGAACTCTAGATGCAAATTTACGGGGGCTCTTTTTGGCATTTCCGGGGCTCTTTTTGGCATTTCGGGGGCTAAATCGCCCCGAGCCCCCCGTGTATTTTTTTCACTGGTTCCTGTGGCGCGAGCGGGGAGGAGGGAGGAGGGGGAGGGGGGTTCATGGCTGCACTGATGCCAAGCGACGTGCTTGCCACTGTTGCCTCCTTGCTTGCTGTGATTAGCTCCTTACTTGCTGTGGTTGCCTAGCTTACTTTCCATGGTAGCTCTCCTTACTTGGTGCAGTTGCCCTTCTTACTTGCTGTGCAGGGTTTCTTATACATAAGAGGCACAGTGGCGCACCGCTGTTGTCAAATTTAACATCGCCGTTGTGGAAATGTTTCTGTATTTACTGATAAGTATATTCTGTATCTAAATATACCTGTAAGTATATCAATACATCCTGTATTTGAATCCATCATGCGCGTTTTTTCCCAAACTGGCCATTACCTCCTTTGTCAAATTTTCTCTCAGAAGAAACCTTGTGTGGTTGCCTTCCTTGCTTGCTGGAGTTGTTTTCCTTACTTGCTGTAGTTTCTCTCCTTACTCTCCTTGCCAGTTCCTTTCCCTCCCTCCCTCCTCCCCTCTTTTCTTTTTTCCCTCTTATCCTTTTCCCCTTTCTCCCTCCCCTCTCTCCCTTCTCCCTGCTCTCCCTTCTCCCCTCTCTTCCTCCTCCCTTCTCTCCTTCCTCCCCTCTCTCCCTCCTCTCTCTCCCTCTCATCTCGTTCGCCGCGTGTTGCAGATCCGAAGGAGCGTCTGCGTGATGAGGAGCGAGACGACATCGTGCTGAGTCCGCAGCGTCGCAGCTTTGGCACGGGCTGCCACGTCGAGCCCGGCATCTCGCGCTCGCTCGGCCGCCGCCCGACCACGCCCTCCGAGTCGACGCGCGCTGGCGACGACAGGTGAGCATCTCTCAGCGCGGCGCTCACGAAGCGCTCGTTGTCGGAAACACTATTGGTCTTAACGTTAGTGTTAACGTTAATGCATTTTTATTGTAGACCGTTGATGGGATTGTGGTGAAGTTATGACTGACGTTATGTTTCTGAAAGTAAATGAGGAAAGTTAAACGTGTCGAATTTAAAAGTCATGCGTATCGTAAATTTATCAACTATTTATCAACTGTGACAGACTGTCAACTCAGAACAATAATATTTAACACGTGTGACTGTCGTGCGTACATGCACACGACTCCGCCCGGCAGTCGTTCCCTGTGGGACCCCTAGAGTGAGACATGTCGTCACTCGAAAAGTTTTTACGTCGACTTCGCTACTCAAACGCACCCGTCCTCGTTGATTTTTACGTCGACTTCGTTACTCAAACGCACCTGTCCTCGTTGCTTTTTGCGTCGACTTTGTTACTCAACCTCCCCCGCGCGTTGTCGTTGCAGCTACAGGGACCGGGACCTGCGTGAGAAGGAGCCCGGGGGTCAGCGGCGCGTCGGCAGCGGCCGCATCGTCAGCCGCGACCCGCGCGACCTTCGCGACCGCGACGCACGCGACCGCGACGCACGCGACCTCCGCGACCGCGACGCGCGCGACCTCCGCGACGCCCCCTACGAGCGCCGCGGCGGCGGCGGCGGCGGCGGGCGCTACGACCGCGACGACGGCCGCGACTGGAGGCAGGACCGCGAGCGCGACGCCGCGCCGCGCGGCTTCAAGCGTGACTACGCGGCGTCGGAGCGACGCGGAGGAGGGGAGCACCGGTCGGGGCGCGGGCAGCGGCACGCGAAGGAGGAGGAGGAGCCGGAGTGGTTCTCGGCGGGTCCGGCGTCGCAGCACGAGACGATCGAGCTGCACGGCCTCGACGAGCACGAGAAGAAGAGGAAGGGGAAGCCCGCGGCGGCGAGGAGGGAGGAGCCGGAGAGGGAGGAGGCACGCAACGCGGAGGAGGCGACGGGGAAGAAGCAGAAGGAGAGTCGGGCAGAGAAGGCTGGGAAGGAGGCACCGAGCAAAGGTTTGCACTACTCCAGGGTGCAAAATTAACGGGAGTCCGCAGTCAAATACTCCTTGATTTACTGATTTGACATATGCAGGAGTTCGTGTGACTCCCTGAAAATAGTAACTAAATAGTTCGTTCTGGAGCACGGCCTTGTGGAATTACCGTATTTTTACTTCAGACTGCGGACTCCCTCATTTTGCCGCGGACTCCCTCTTTTTGAGGGCAGGGAGTCCGTTGGACTCCCAGGTTCAAAAGTTAATTTCTACCCCTGCTACTGTCATTGTCGTGCCTGTTCCACACTGCCTGTATACAGAGTAGACTAACAATTAATAGTAGTACTAGAAATAATCATGATGATGATAATATTATTAATAGTAAGAATAATAATACTATAGAATAGGTCTGCCGTTTTAGTATCTTCCTCGCCATCTATTCTGTAGACTCGAATGCGTCAGTGGAAAAGAAGCAAGAGGGAAAGACGGAGCCGGTGGAGAGGCCTCCCCCTGCAGCGTCGCGCGACGGCAGTCAGGCGGAGAAGGCGCCGACGCAGCAAGGCGACAACTTTGACTTCAATCAGTTCTTCAACATTGACGGGCTGCCAGGATTCACGTCTGTGAGTGTATGCCCGCCATCTCACACGGTCTTCTGATCCCTTTCTCCCTCTACGAACAGCAGCACGTTCACACTTGTGACCTGCGATCGTCCTAAAGTTAACGGGAAAGAACACGTCGATAGCATAACAAATTTGTGACGTTTCAAGTTGTGAACGTAACGGAAGACGCTCGAGATGAAAAGAGTTGCAGACGATTGAGTGCTTGTTATCTGACACAGTTTGTGTCTTCACCATCATCATCATCTTGTTCTCCACGTCTTTATATTCTTCACCTTCCTCATCATCATCTTCTTTATATTCTTTATCATCCTCTTCGTCTTCTTAATCATCTTCTTCATCTTCTCGCAGAACCTGACGAACCTGGAAGCTGAGGACACGAGCGCGCGCGGCGGTCAGTCGGTCAGCCGCTTCAGCCACTGGTTCCACCGGCAGGACAGCCACGGTGGGAGTGGGGGCGGTGGTGCGAGCAGCCACAGTGGCAGCCGGCGATCATCAATGCATGAGGAGCTGTTACTCTACGACATGCTGAACGGTGAGTGAACGCCGCTGCCACCACGATGCATTCCTCTTCTGCTATGTTTTTCCGTGCTTTCTTCTCGCCCTCCTCCTCCTCCCCCTCTTTCATCTATTATATTTTTTCCTCTTCTGTCGTCTCTTATTTTCCTCGTCCATCTATTTATATGCTTTATTCTGCTTCCTCAACCTTTCTTCCTTGGATCCTTTCTTATTTCGCCCCTCTCTCCTACATGCAAGCAAATTGATTTTACCAACGTACTTATAGAATGTGTTACTGTACTCGTGTTACCATTACAAATGCGCATTAGTCATTTCCATGCATAATGGAATGGTTGTCCTAGGGTTGCGCGTATACATGGCATACGCAGTTATTGTGCCTGCATCGCACTAGCGAGCATTGAAATGGTAATCAACGTTTGCTAGTATGTCAGTATGTATAGTATAGTTACATAAATTCTATGTAGCTTTACAATTAACCCATCATTTTGGTGTGATTGAGAGGCCACTCTAGCCAAACCATTGTCGATGATTTTCGGCAACAAACTGCTTTTAACTTGACATTTTGGCGTGTGTGTGTGAAAATCACGCACAACTGGTGTAAATTGACCAGTCTAGTAACAACATCCAGGGGGAAAGGTTCGTCTTGCTTAGATAGACGGCTCGCGGTTGCAAAATTGAAGGTCGCGTGGAGGCGATCCTGTCGGTCGACGTTTCAATCCGCGTCTTGTCTCGCAGACCTCGACGGCAACAAGAGCCCCGTCATCGCGTCGCCGACGCCGGACTTCCCCAACCAGCAGCACGTCTTCAACATCCCATACGGAGCTCCCCATCAGCAGCATCAACAGCAGCAGCAGCAGCAGAAGCAACATCAACAGCATCAACAGCAGCAGCAGCAGCAGCATGGACAGGCAGGGGTCGCGATGGGATCGGCGTCGCTGCATGGTGGTCTTGCACCGCTGCTTGCTTCACAGCATCAGCAGCAGCAGCAGCAGCAGCAGCAGCAGCAGCAGCAACATCAGCAGCAGCAGCAGCAGCAGCAGCAGCAGCAGGGTGTGAACATCCTCTCGCTGCTGCAGGGCGCTGGCGCGCACATCAACGAGAATCTCGCAACGAACAACAGCTTCCTGAAGGAGCAGAGTAAGCATCTCTGTCGTCGTCGTGGCAACCGCGCCGCGCCGGCGCCCTCCGGTGTGTGCGCCGTCGCGTCACGGACGCCCGACTTCGCTCGCAGTATCGAAAACCACAGCGTGTTGCACTTGCTTTTGGCATTCTCTTGGAACCGTGCATTTACTTACTTACTTTGTATGCATGTTATGTCTATGATATGCACATAATGTATGTGTTTATCTTACATACATGCGTGCGAAGTGTTGACTTGTCTTTAAATTTTGAACGGGAAACTTCGGTAATGACGACTGATTAATGCAGTGCAGTCCCTGTTACGGAATGGGTGACGTCTCCATCGAATGCGGAGCGACTGTAGCTCGCTGTGCTAGATGTCAACGCGATTCACTTGGTCTTTTTGAACGAATAATTGTGTCACGTATTTTACTGTTTTGAACGTCGACGTCTCAGCGTTTGTTCGCGTCAATCGTTAGCGCTTCTCGCGTCGCACCGCATGTCTCACCGTGTCTCGAGTCTCACCGTGTCGCGAGTCTCACCGTGTCTCGAGTCTCACCGTGTCTCGAGTCTCACCGTGTCTCGAGTCTCACCGTGTCGCGAGTCTCACCGTGTCTCGAGTCTCACCGTGTCTCGAGTCTCACCGTGTCTCGAGTCTCGCCGCGTGTCTCGCCCGCCTCGTGTCTCACCGTGTCTCGATTCTCACGCGAGCGGCGTCTCACGCAGCCTCGTGTCTCACGCGGTGGTGCTGGCGAGTCTCACCCGCCTCGGTGTCTCACCCCGGCCTCGTGTCTCACCGCGCGTCTCACCCGCCTCGTGTCTCACCCGTTTCATGTCTCACCGCGCGTCTCACCAGCCTCGTGTCTCACCGTGTCTCGAGTCTCACCTGCCTCGTGTCTCACCCGCCTCGGAGTGTCTCACGCCGCGCGTCTCAACCCGCCTCGTGTCTCCCGCGTGTCGTCGTATCTCAGCCTGCGCGGTCTCACCGCCGCGTGTCTCACCGCCGTTTCAGTGTGCTCCCCCGCGCGTCGCTCGACGCAGGCACTCCGTGTCTTCAACCCGTGTCTCGGAGTTCAGCCGCGGCCGCGTCTCACCAGCCTTCGTGTCTCACCGTGGTCTCGAGGTCGCTACCTTGCCTCGGTGTCCTACCCGCGGCTGCGTGTCTCACCGCCAGCGGTCTAACGACGGCCGTGGCCTCGGGGTCTCACGCGCGCGTGCCAACCGTGTGCGGTCGCCAGTCCACACGGCGGCGCGTGCTCACCGACCGCCTCTGCGTCTCAGAAGCCGCATGGTGCTGGGCGCCAGTCATGTCTCACCGCGCAGTCTTCCACTGTCTCGTTGCAGTGATGGCGGCAAGGCTAAGAGCTGCGGAGCCCTCGGGGAAAGGCCAGCATGCAGGGCATGGTCGATGGGCGGCGGCGGCCCGTCAGGGTTGCGCCACCCGCAGCGAGTGAGCCAGCACTACCGACCCGCGGCAGCGCGGCGGGGGGCGGATGGCGGGCCGGCAGCAGCAGGAGATGGATCGTCTTCAGCAGGCTGCTGAGACGGTGAAGGCATACACGGAACAGCTGGAAACGACGCTCGTCAAGCCCGGCCAGGTGAGTCATCCTCGGCGCAGGGTGAATCCGCCGGTGGTCCACGGTACGTTCCAGCGCAGAAAATGTTCGAATTTATTGTTTTGGGCGTGCTCAGGCTTGGTTTAAGCTTCGCATGCATTGGACGAAATAGCGAACTCTACCCGAAATTTTGTTTGCGATTGCGAGCTTCGCATGCATTTACGGGGGCCGCTTTTGGCAATTTGTCGGGCGGGCGTAAAATCGCCCTGAGCCCCGCGTGTATTTCTTTCACTGGTACGGTCCACTCGAGTGGCGGAGGTGGGGAGGGTCTAGTATCAGGAGCAGCGCAGCAGTAGGTCAGTAGTGGAGTTGAGTAGCGAGAGGTTGCCTAGTATGCCCACAGTGGTCGCAGGCTCCTTGAAAAGTCGCTTGAAATTGGAGAGTCGCTTGAAGAAGTAGCAGTGAATGCTAGTAAATGTTGATGTTTGGTGCTTGAAAAAGTCTTGAATTTCATGAGAGAGGATGGAATTCTTTAGACAGAATTCTTGCCTGTACAATAAAAAAGAAATTTTGTACCATCAATAGATGGCGAAACCTCAATAAAAATTGCGTTAACATGAGCTTTAGGAAGCAAACGCCTAGTAGACACGATCAGGGACGAGCGGCGGGGTTTTAGAAGGATCGATCACGGAATTAGCAGGTAAGTCATTAAATCAACGGTCTGTTGTAGAAGTGCCGAGTGTTTAGAAAGGGTTATTAATGTGATCCAGGTACGTTTAAAGGATGACAGTGATAGAATGGGGTTATTAATTAATCTAGGTATGTTCTTGTTTTCTGTGTATGAATTCCGATAAAATGTCCTTGGAATTTCGGATAAATGTCCTTGAAAAGTCCCTTGAAGAAAATTTTCAGTCCCGTAATGAACCATGGTATCTTCCCATCAGCAGCATAGTACGAGGCAGCTGCCAGCGTTATCGCGTGCATGCGCGCAGCGTGTGTGGGGGGAGGGGCTTTGTGATATAGTAGCGGTGGTAGCACTGGGTGTGGGGTTGGGGGGGGGGAAGGTTATGAAGCTACGTTATAAGAAATTGTTCAGTCAGGCATCAGCAAAGCAGAGTAGTAACAGTACGCAGCAGCAGTAGCAGTAGTGAAACAGCGTACTAGCAGTGGGCAGCAGTAATTCAGTCCTAGTTACGAGTGACAGTCAGAGGGCAGCAGTAGTAGTAGTAACAGCGGTACTAGCAGTGGCAGCAGTATCAGTACTAGTACCAGTGACAGTAGCAGCAGCAGTAGTAGTAGTAACAGCGGTACTAGCAGTGGCAGCAGTATCAGTACTAGTACCGAAGTGACAGTAGGCAGCGCGCAGCAGTAGTAGTAGTAACAGCGGTACTAGCAGTGGCAGCAGTATCAGTACTAGTACCAGTGACAGTAACAGCAGTAGTGGTGGTAGTGATAGTAGTAGTAGCAGCAGCAGTAGTAGTAGTAACAGCGGTACTAGCAGTGGCAGCAGTATCAGTGACAGTAACAGCAGTAGTGGTGGTAGTGATAGTAGCAGCAGCAGCACCACAGGCTTCACTCACGTTGCGCATTGACTCTAGGGTGATTTGCAGGCTCACGCCGGTGGAGCCCCGGCAGGGCAGCACCACAGTCCAGGTTCCCGGCCCCTGCACGGCCGCCCGATGCATGAGCAGGACCTACTAAAGGTATTGTTCTCTCTCTCTCTCTCTCTCTCTCTCTCTCTCTCTCTCTCTCTCTTTCTTTCTTCACGTCTCTTATTTTCCTGCTCTCACCAACCACTCTCCCCCCCCTTCTCTCTCTAACGCACACATAAATTTGCTCACGCTCTAACTGTCGCAGACGCACTCATTTACTCTTCCTTCTTCTTCTATGTGTGTCTCTCCCTCTCTCTCTCTCTCTCTCTCCCTCTCTCCCTCTCTCTCTCTCTCTCGCTCTTTCGCCCTCTCACTCTCTCTCTCTCTTTCTCTTTCTCTCTCTTTCTCTCTCTCTCTCTCTCTCTCTCTCTCTCCTCTCTCTCTCTCTCTCCTCCCTCCTCCTGTGTGTGCGCCGTCTTCACCCTCTAGTTGATCACTTGTGATGTTATCATTTCCCTCCCCTTCTTCAGGAGCTGCTTCCGCCGACCACGACGACCGCGGCGGCGGCGGCGCAGGCCGCTGCTCAGGCGGCGGGCATGAGCAAGCTCAACGTTCCCAACACCCTGCCGCTGATGAATCCCAACCGACCGATGACGCCGCAGGAGCAGCAGCTTGTCAGCTTCCTGCGCGGACAGCAGCAGCAGCAGGTGACGCCACCGCTCGGCGCGGCGAACATTCGCGCTCGTTCGTGATAGCGTTGTTCTCGTGTCACGTCGCTCCTACGGTGACGGTGGAGCGATGCTAGAATCGGGAAAGAATTCAGTTGTGGCTTATTTTAATTTTCTGCCCTTCTGGCTCCTCGTTAGAGTGCCAGCTGCAGCTGCGGTGTTGTTGCTTTACTTTTTTGTGGCTGGCTGCGTGCCATGCTACGATGGTGACTAGCTTATTAGCCTTGTTCTCGTAAAATATCTCCAATGTTTCTCAGCTCGGGGTCGTGATAACAGCCTTCTCTTCGCCGTTAGTTGTTGATAATCTATTAACGAAATCATGCGCTTGCCATCTAGTCGCGTTCGTGCTGATTGTGACTTGATTATATTCGCACAGATGGCGCCCTCTGTGGTGATCCAGCGCTCGCCGTCGCCGCAGACGCCCACCAATCAGGGCCTGCCGCTGTCGTTTCAGGGATTGGTCGGCCGCGGGGCGTCGCCGCACGACTTTCTTCACCTACACCAGCAACACCTGCACCAGCAGCAACAGCAGCAGCAGCAGCAGCAGCGGATCCCATCGCCGCTACCAGGTGAGTTGCCGACCTCACGGCGCCCCCACCGTGGCGGAGGCATGAAGTGATGTGCCGCTCATACTTGTTATTTTTTAGGAGCGAGAAAGACGTGCATCCCCCTAGGTGGCGCTGCTCGATCGATCGCCACATTTTCACTCTTGTGTCGTTGTCGCCGATCGGCTCGGTAGACTGGTGCGTTTTTAATCTTGCTATTTTTCACGTCGCAGGGTTCATCCAGCAGCCGCCCGCGCTACCTCACGCGCCGTCGCCCGTCTATCCCGGGCAGATGGGTCAGAGCAGTCTGCAGGGTCCGCCGGTCGGTCTTAACGTGCCACAGTCAACCTCACCGATCCCACGAGTGCCCTCACCCCAGGTAGGCTGTCGCTGTGCCAGTACTGAAGCCTTGATGGTAAAACCCTTATACTGAAGACATAACAATAAATCCCCAATATTAAAGCCATTGTATTGAAGTCTTATACTGAAGCTCTCATACTTAAGTCTAATACTGAACCCATAACACTGAAGCTACAACAGTTGAATCCCAATAATGAAGCCCTAACACTGAAGCCTTAAGAGTGGAACCCCAGTACTTAAGCCCTAATACTGAAGTGTAACAATGAAGCCCTGACACACTGGAACCCCGATACTGAAGTCTACTACTGAAAGCCCTAACGTTGAAGCCCCCGATACTAAAGCCCTAAGGCCAAAACAAAATACATGTGTGGTTACCATTACATGCTGGGGAAAAATAGGGTAGGTAGGTAGGGAAAACATTTTATTTTCTTGAAATATTTTATTTACGAGCCATGTCCGAAGGATGTGTGTTGTGCCTTTTGAAGCAGGAACTGTCCAATTCATTTTTTTTTCCATTTTTTTTTGGACTTTAAAGAAAATTGACTATAAAATGTTTAGGGTCGCTGGGAATAAATAGGGTCGGTCGGGAAACCGTAACCACACCTATATTTTGTTTTGGCATAACATTGAAGCCCCCTGTCTGGTGTGCGCAGGAGCTGATTGTGCACACGCAGAACATCATGCAGAATGCGCTCATCAAGAAGAAGCTTGAGGAACAGAAGGAGAACTACCGCCGCCGCCAGCAGGTGGAGCTGCAGCGCTCTAAGTCGCCCGTCCAACAGCAGCAGCAGCACGGTGGAGGCGTAGGAGGAGGGCGCCAGCAGCAGACGAGCGTCAACGCGGCGTTCACTCCGACCAGCGTCATGAAGAATATGCACAATCACCGCGCCGACGACAAGCCAGTCGGGGCGCCGCCTCCCAATATGCAAGGTAGCGCGCGCGTTCCCGCGACGCCAGCATCGGCGCTAATGTTACGATGTTAGGTCGCGTGTAATATGCGTAAGAGCGAATGTGTGCGTTCGCAAACAACATGTTAATGCTGGCATTGGCTCTACAGTTACGCTGTTAGATCGGTATAATGTGTGTGATGGCGAATGTGTGCGTTCGCAAACACTGTGTTAATGCTGGCATTGGCTCTGCAGTTACTCCGGCAGCGCAGCGTAGCGTATATAACAGCGTATACATGAAGTCACATGCGCTCAGTCTACCGTATCGGGCCACAGTTCTGTTACAGTATAGCACAATGTCATATATAATATGATAGCATATTATATATGTGCGGTCGCTCTGCAGTCCACTGTTGGCGGCGTGTAATGACTGGTGTGCGTGTCTGTGCGTACATGTGCGTGCGTGCGTGCGTGCGTGCGTGCGTGCGTCTGTGTGTGCGTGCGTGCGTGAATTCCCGTGGTAACGTGTCTGCTCTCGCTCGTGTGTTGCAGACCCACTGTCGCCGCAGCGCGGCAGTCCGATGTCTCCCCCACGCATCAGCGCCGGCCAGGCCTTGCTCAAGATGTCCGCCGCCCAGCAGCAGCAGCAGCAGCAGCAGCAGCAGCAGCAGATGCTAGGTGGCGCCGGGCGTCCGATCGTGAAGGGCGGCGGCGTGCAGACGTCCCCGCCGCACCAGCCGCGCCTCAACCTCCCGCAGCAGACGCTGCTGCCGCAGGGGAAGGGTCTCGGCATTCCCGGAGGCGGAGGTGGAGGAGGCGGCGGCGCCATGGCGACGCAGGCCGACATCGGGAAGCTGCTCGAGCAGCAGCAGCGCCTCCTGGTGGCGCAGCAGCAGCAGCGCGCGATGAACGCGTCGCCGCTGCCACAGCGCTCTGTCGCCATCGTGCCGCCGCAGCCGATCGTGCCGCCGCAGCAGCTGCCGACGCCAGGGGGCGCCGGCGGGGCGATGACGCCCGCGCAGGCGGCGCTGCTGTTGCGCAACATGATCAACCCGACGACGCTGCGGCACATGCAGCATCTCGCCGCCGCGCAGCAGATGCGAGGGGGCGTGGCCGGCGGCGGCAGCGGCGGGATGGACCCGCGGCTCCGCGGACTGAACCCGCTCGCCTTGCAGCAGCTGCAGCTGCAGCTACAGCAGCAGGTAAGTGAATCACACGGCGGTGCTGCATTGTCAGGGTTCGTAGCGGGTCTTCCAAAGTCTTATAAGTACTTATTTTGCCAAAAATAAAATAAGGGCCCTTATTAGTACTTATTTTTGGTAAAACCTTAGAAAAGTACTTAATAAGTTAATAGTCCTTATTTTTTGTCGGTAGAAGGTGCAGGGTGTCGGTAGAAGGTGCAGGGTGTCGGTAGAAGGTGCAGGGTGTCGGTAGAAGGTGCAGGGTGTCGGTAGAAGGTGCAGGATGTCGGTTGAAGGTGCAGGGTGTCGGTAGAAGGTGCAGGATGTCGGTAGAAGGTGCAGGGTGTCGGTAGAAGGTGCAGGATGTCGGTATTCGGAAAAACAATAAGTCAATGATTTTTGGCGCATGCTGCCAATAGTAGACACAGGGCTGGCCGGAATCGCAACGTTCCACAGCGGGGATATTTTGTGATCGAGTTCTGTCGTGTCGTCGTCTGACATTTGCTTGTTTTGCGCTCCGGCAGCAATCGCCAGAGCCGCCGCAACCACAAGCGCAGCATGACATTTACATGGTCCTCTGAGACGATATATATATTAATATATATATAATATGTAATATATATATATATATTATATACAGGGTGCAAAATTAACGGGAGTCCGGAGTCAAATACTCCGTGATTTACTGTCTGATTTGACATCTGCAGGAGTCTGTGGGACTCCCTGAAAATTCTGTTATACTAACAAGTTCGTTCCAGAGCACGGCCTCACGGAATTACCGTATTTTGTTCAGCAAATGCCCAAAGAAAATTTGGCAGACGTGCATCGCATGAATCTTCAAATACGCACATGCGTTATTGTTGTTGTGCTTTAGTTTTGAACTTTCAGACTGTGTACTCCCTCATTTTGCTACAGACTCCCTCTTTTTGAGGGCAGGGTTGGACTGTTTCTAACCCTGTATATGTATATATATATATATCGTAGTCCATGAGATAATATAAGCGTCAGCTGCGCACAGCACGATTATTATACAAGGGAGGGGGGGCGGTGGCGAAATTAGACGCCGGCTGTTGCCAGGGCACCGTCTGACATTTACACAAAGTAATTTACAATAACATGAGTGTCGCGTATGGCACGGCTGACATTGCCACAGGGCACCAGCACTTGCTACTGTATATGTGCTTTGTATTCGGTTATTCATTCATTTATTCGTTCACTTATTTATTCAACAGTATAACATCGTTTCACATTAAATCTGAGACTTGTTGATAATGTTTGATGCGAAAGCGAGTGCTTCACATCGAACAATATAGTAAAATTTTATTGACGTATTGTCTAGACCATAGATATATACAACGACATGTGTTGTATATATATATGTCTAGACGCATTCTCTGGTTCGCTTGATACAATGCAAATATGCTCAACAACCACCATCCCGATTTTGACGATTTTTTTTTACTATCCCTGCGGGATACCAAGCATTGAAATCTGGTATCCAACACAAGAATCTACTATCCCGCGGATATCGGGATACCGCTAATTTCGACCCCTGCAGTATTGTACGGTAGTGTAGTATATGTACGTGTGAACATCGAGTAACCTAGAAGTGTACATAGTGTAAACATATACGTGAACACAGGAGTTGGCGAAAGTCAAAATCAGGGGGGCGATTGTGTCTTTTTATTCACCAATATTGACATTATACACTAATGGACTTCAGGCCAAATTGTTTGTATCATTGAACGTTCGTAAGTCGGGGAGTCTCTGTATCTATCTCTTATCTCTCAGCGGCAGCAGCAGCAAAAACAACAACAGCAGCAGCAGCAGCAGCAGCAACGGTAGCAGCAGCAACAACAACAATAACAACGTCAGCCAATCATGTACTAACGTGATGTATCTATCTCTCTCTCTCTCAGCAGCAGCAACAACAACAACAGCAGTAGCAACAACAACAAAAACAATAACAACGTCAGCCAGTCGTGTACTAACGTGATGTATCTATCTCTCTCGCTCTCAGCAGCAGCAACAACAACAACAACAATAACAACGTCAGCCAGTCATGTACTAACGTGATGTATCTATCTCTCTCTCTCAGCAGCAGCAACAACAACAACAGCAGCAGCAGCAGCAACAACAACAACAACAATAACAATGTCAGCCAGTCGTGTACTAACGTGATGTATCTATCTTTCTCTCTCAGCAGCAGCAACAGCAACAACAGCAGCAGCAACAGCAGCAGCAGCAGCAGCAGCAGCAGCAGCGAGCGATGCACGGTCTGAGCCTGAACCTGCCCGTCGCGGCATCGTCGGCATCGTCATCCTCCCTCGCCTCTCCTCAGATGTCCGTCAGCCGCTCGTCGCCCGTCGGACTCGCCAAGTGGTTCGGCCAGGACGTGCTGAAGCAGGCGCCCCCTATGCCGCAGCCGCAGAAGGCGCTCACCGTCGACGAACTCGAGAGGCTCTCGCAGGTCGCCGGAAACTAGCGGGCGCCACCGCGTTTTTTGAAGGTCGCGAGATTTGTCAGTTAGTCGTTTTTTAGCGAGTTTTCCAGAGTTTCCAGGGTTCAAAACGTAGAGAAATGAATCGTCGCGACAATTTGTCGAGTAGTTAAGAATGAAGCGCGAGCGAGGCGAGCAGTGCTGTCAGAGCGGTGCCGAGTATAGAGACCAAAATCACCCTTTATGTGTTCACGTGTGTATATGTGTGTGCGTTTGTCTGTGTGTGTGTGTGTGTATGTGTGTGTGCGTTTGTGTGTGTGTGCGTGCGCGTGCGCGTTTGCACGCGTGTGTTTGTAAATTGGGTTGAACGAGCATTCGTGTAAACGACTTTTTTCCCTCGTATTGTTGCTGTCGTTGTTGTTGTTGTTGTTGTTGTACATTATGGTTATTTATGGTTACACGCAGGACAAAGACATTCTGTTGCTATTTACGTCTGAACTTTACAGTCGGCATTTACGAAAAGCTCAAAAGGGAAAAAATGTGTGTAAAAAGACGTGTGTGCATCTCTCAGTACTAACTAAGGGCGGGCAGGTGCAGCGTTATTAGGTGCATGCGTACGCTCCTAAGTGTTTGTGGTTTATTTCGTAGGTTTTTTCATTTCTATTAATGCTTTGATCGTTTCACTGATTATGGATTACCAGTGTGATATGGTTCAACGATTGCGTGCCACGTAGCCCAGGTGGGCTTGTAGACTGTTAGAGTTGACTCGTGGGAGGGGGGTTGTGCTGCCCTGCTGCGCTGACCAAGGAGTTGTTGCCAGGTCGTACATTCAGCTTTGTTTGAGGTAGCCCTACCAGTGTAGCTGCATTCCTACTACAGCAAATCCCTGCAACAGTAGTGAAGGGGCTACACTGGCAGAGAGCTAGCTTCATGGCTTCGGCTGAGCGGTCTCGTTAAGCAAATTAGGGCTAGAATTCAAGCGATTAGGGCTTTCGAGGCGGAATTCAAGCTGCATCTTGAACTTTGTCCGAGTCTAGGCGTTCCCGTCGTTGACGTTGTTCGTAGAGTGCGCGTTTCTTTGTGTTTTGTGGTGCAAGGTGAGCATGGCCCCGCGCTGGCGCATGCGTCGTGTTTGTCGGTAGTGAGTAGTGGAGCGCCGGAGCCTCTGCCTTCCCGCGCGCGAGGATGCAACGCGATGGCGCGAAATTTAGATTCGCGTCGCCGAGCAAATTAAATGCGCGGAGGAGGATGCAACGAGATACGGCGTCCGTGCTTACGGAGGGGTAAGGAGGATGCAAGGTTCATAGTGACAGCGGTGATGTTCGGGCGCCGACGTTACAAGCATTTATCGTTTACGGCGCTCTTAAATAATAGTTGTTAGTGGGTATTTTTGCAATAGTACTCGCGGTGTAGTGAAGCTAGTACTGCCCTTTAGTAACCTTACCCTCCCCCTCCCCACCAGCGACACGCACTCACTTTCTCTCTGTCTCTGTGTTTTGTTCACCCTCCGTGTTGCCGGTTTGCAATTATCGTGTGTGTGTCTATATATAAACTAGCTTCGCGCCATATCAGATCGTCAGTAGTGTGTTTGTGCGCGTGTTTGTGTTTTGTGTTTGTAGTAGATGTCTGTGCTTGCGTGTGAGAGCGCTTGAGTACGATTTCCTTCTAAGTTTAACGTTCTAAGTTCTAAGTTCTAAGTTCTAAGTCAAGAGTCGACTTAACAGTGATGTCGTTTGTTTGTTCGCTAAACATTGTACAGATTGCGCCTACCAGGTGGCTTGTTTTGCATTGTCGGTGGCGCCCTCGAGTGATGGGCGGAGTAACTTCGGCGTGTGTTTGCCGGCTCAGCCACCCTTGTATATATAGGATACTCGTTTTTTTGCTATTTTTTTCCTGTGTTGCTTTCGGTGATTGATGTACTTTAATTCGGGTTTACAGATTTCGTGCGAGAGAGAGAGAGAGCGAGAGTGAGAGTGATAAAGAGAGAGAGAGAACGATAAAGAGAGAGAGAGAGAGAGAGGTTGGGGGAAGGAGCAATGTTAGCTTGTCTCCCCGTTACTAGTTACTGGTTACTGTCGTGTGTGCAGCACGCTCTAGGCGTATAGATTCCCCTGTGTTGTCCCCGTTCAGGTACGCTCAGGAGCAGTTGACGCTGGCAGCGCGGCCACATCGCATGCTCTTGTTTGTCGTTTGTCTTCGATTTTTGCCTCGGAGAATTTTTCCCGCAAGACAGGTGCGACACTATAGCGCGTCGGCTCCAGCGGTAGTTTTTTTGCTGCTAATGTTTTTTTTCCGTTATTCAAATGCGACTAGCGTGTCTTGGGCCCACGTACTGTTATGTTCCGTCGTGATATATGCTCATGTATGATTTCCTGTGGTTTTTTTTTTCAGTGTCAGTTTGTGTCGCGAGCGGTTTTTTCCGTTTAAGCGTTGCTCGCGCGAGAGCGTTCTTTTGTTTTGTGTGCAGAAATCACGCGCGCGTGCGTCCGAGTGTCTTAAGTTTTCTAGTATGTTCGTTATGGCGTTGCAAGCTTTCTGATCCCATCAATGTATTTATTTTGCCAAATTGATGTGGGTTGAAAAAAAAGTGCTGGGACCGAGCATTCCGCTGTCGTGATTGTAAATATGAGTTTGATTTTTCCCCCGCGGCGCACAAATCTTCGGGAGCTCAAGGTTTGTTCCCCTTCCTTTTCTTTGTTTTTGTGGTAATTTTTCGCTTTATTTTTACCCGCTGGAGGTACGTACATTCATTTATTCAGCGACGTAAGTGTAGGAATATTGCTGGAAGGGGTGCGACGGATATTCGCAGGTCTTGACTTTCCGGAGTACGAGATACCTCCCTCACCTCCTCCCCAGCTATAGGCGAAAGACGGCGGTTAGGGTACGCTTTATGCTGGCTCTCGTGCCACTATGGTTTCCTTATCTCTCCCCCTTCCCCGGATCACAAGATTGTTATCGTGTATATATCATAGCGGGTAGACTCACGCCCACTGGTGGGGCCGATTGTAAAGAGGTGCTCACTGGTAACGAATGGTTACTATTTTTGTAAGGACGTTTCGTCATTTGTGGGCGGGTGACCTGTTAGCGTGAGCTGGTCATTAAAAAAAAACGGAACATTGCCGATCAAAAGTCGAACGTGAAGTCTCGAGAGCGAGGTAAAATGTTTAAAGAAAAACACTTAACGAATTTGTTCATTTCCGACGAGTGAAATACAGTGTAATATTAAAAATGAATGCAGTCAAATGGTCTTTGTGTTTACTGGCGTGGAGCTTCAGTTTGCTTTTCATCATGCCTGCAAGTGGAGGAAGAATTATTCGATAATAAATAATCCATCCTCTGTAACACATCGCTTCACACTTTGTATTATTTTGGAGTAAATTGTACAGGAAATGTAGACTGGCTCTGCTAGTCTTTATAATATACAACTGTCAAGTACAACCACGAACAAGGAAAGGATCTGTGGTGTAATAAATCCCTTGTCATAATTTCATCTCGTAATCTCAGAAACGTGCTGCAAATGCCTTGTCGAACGTAAATTGATAATGTTAGTGATATTTTGGCCACAAGGTACAACGTGAAAAGGTCTAAACAAAAGATGCAGTGGCGTTTAACTGATAAATAAACCACAGATAGCAACTATACGAGCAATTTAATTATCATCAATAACAACACGACCTTGTTTATTGTACAGTAGTTATCGTTTTATCAAGGGTATGCAACATAAAACGGACACAAGCACACATATATAACAGACATAATATCTTGATAATATAGAGTCTAACTAGTATATTATTTCTATGAGTCAAACAGACATGTAAGCTAACGCTCAGGTAAACAGTTGTATCAAGACTGGATAATAATATCTGCAGCGAATTAAAGTCGACCAAATACATCTGCAGTAATGCAGACAAAAAAAGTAACCCTAAGAAACTAATTATACATTGAAGGACGTGTGTATTGGTGTCAGCTTGACTCTGACGCAGCCTGGTTAGGTTAGCAAAACGGTAACAAACGGGAAAACGGGTATGCATATATATATATCAAGAATAGATAATACCAAGGACATATCAAGACAATGTACATCTATAAACATATTACCAGGAGTCTATCAATATTGATAATATATAGACATATACTGCACAATGTATGTCGAATCGTCGATACCAGGAGCGAATAATAATAGATCTATTATATAAATAAAAGAGATCTAATATAGATAGATCTATTATTATTCACTCCTGTCGATACGATATCTATACATTGTACACATACACGTGCAATGCGTTATACCTATATATGTTCAGGAGTCTATCAATTTTGATAGACTCCTGATATGTTTAGGGGTAAATAAAAACAAATATTGTTTTCATTTTATTTTACTACCGATACGATACTTTCATGATAACACTAATCATATTGCCAACGTTTGCTTTGTATTCCTCCTTGATATAACAGACTAGATTAGTAATATCTGCCCAGTGTATACTCGTATAACAACTATTCATATAGGATGATACATACACTATATCAAGAGCTAAATAATAAGGTATTAATAGCTCTTGACTATATCATCGTATCAGGGCTCATAGGGTCTATGTCCCCCAGGGTACTGCCGGAACGTACCCTGGGTACGGTCCGGTATACTGGAACGTACCCTGGGTACGGTCCGGTATACTGGAACGTACCCTGGTAACTATTTGATATGGTTAGGGTTAGGGTTAGGGAGTAGGCGTATGCAACTCCCTAGACTCGTTAGTGGAGTAGGCGATGTACTGTTCGGCATATTAGATAGTACCAGGGTACGTTCCGGTATACCAGACCGTACCCAGGGTACGTTCCGGCAGTACCCTGGGGGACATAGACCCTCTCAGCCGTACCAGGAGTGTCATCATATCGAAATAATCCTGATCGTAATTCATAGCCTCATTATAAATCCCTCATCGTCTGATGCAGCGTGCCCACCCAAGAGACTCCCATCTTATTAATTTCGCCCAAACCACGTGCGGCTAGCCGACGGCATCTCTACGACCTGACTGTATGTGCGTACAGCTGGGCGTACGTATATATATAGGTACATATCGACCCGAGCAGCAGCAACAGAAGCAAGCCACTCTCGATGTCACGAAAATCCTTTCTACATCTGCTGTCAATTAACGTTGATTAGAAGGAGGCGCCGGGCACGCACGCGGCACGGGCGTCCCTCCCCCACAGGCAGACCCACGCACCTGCCCCCCTACCCAGTATTGTCTGATCAATCAATCGATCGTTAACAATAGAACAAAAGACCGCTGCTTACAACCCACTGGCTATATATATCTTAGGGGGGGGGTGAATAATGACAGGCAGTAATTGGCTGAACGTTAACATATATGCTCTTTGATGACTTATTGTACCTATTCCACGAACATTCTAGAAAATTCTACGACATCTAACGGAAACACGGACGGGGAAAATGGAAAGATATGGAGCAGAGTTGCGCTATAAACGATTGCGCAATACGATATTCTTGCGAATGCCTTTTAAAATAGCAAATAGAAAAATTAATAGCAATAATATTATTCCACTCCTATTTCAGCCTCGTTCAGCAATATGAAATCTTAAATTATGTGCGTTTTAATGATTCTATCGATTCCACATATTTGCCAGCTCGGTAGCTGTAATTAAACGGACGGCATTGCACAATACCCAATGACTGTTTAGGCCTATAGGGAAACGAACAGAAAAACACAGACAAGGCCTTAAATAAGATCAATTTCTACGATCACTATGCACTAGACACTGTCCACACGACAACAAAGGCTAGACTATGCCAACAAATTGAGGTCCAAAATCCTCCCTCTGAAACCGGATCGAATTCCCGGACTCACTCCTCCTTCACTTCCAGCTGCACTTGACTGGGATCTGCATTTTCTCCCGCCTTCCCCTCTGTCTGTGTCATCCCGGAGAACGGGCAAGTGACGGCCACGTCGGCTGGATTCGGCTGCATCTCCTTCCCGTCATCCGGGTTGAACACCTTGCCGTCCTTCATCCAGTAGGCGGCGCCCGTGAAGGGGCACTGCACGAGTTCGGAGCCGTCCTCCCGCGTCTCGATGACGCCTCCCACCGGCGGCTTCCTCGCCGCCGCCTCCTCCTCCTCGTCCGTCACGTACGCGGCCTCGTCATCCTCGCACTGCTGCTCGAACGCCTCGTCCTCCTCCTTCAGGCGCGCCTCCTCCCGCTCGCCCTCCTCCCGCTCGCGCGTCTCCCGCTCGCGCCGCGCCTCCACCATGCGCCGCTGCGCGGCGAGCGTCTTGCAGACGCGCTTGTGCGTGAACCAGTGCAGCCGCTGGCACGCGACATCGCAGTAGCAGACGCAGCGGCACGCCGAGCAGCGCTTCGCCGCGCCGTCGCTGCCGCACGTGTCGCACTCGCCCGTATCGTCGTCCGCGTTGCGCTGGCCCGACAGCGTCGCCGCGAGTGACGTCAGCGCCGTCGGGTGGTCGCCGACGGTGACGGGCGCAACGGCACGCACGAGCTGCTGCAGCAGCACGCTGTCCGGGTACGGATAGCTCCGGATCGCCTGCCGCACAAACTTCTCCAGGTAGACGGGAAACCCGTCGACGTCGCGGCCGCGCAGCAGCGTCCGCAGGTACGAGTCGAGCGCCTCCGGCCGCGCCGCATCGGCGGCGCCCCCTCCCGCGCCGCCTCCCCCGCCGGCCTCGCGCATCCAGTCGAGGCATCCCTTGCAGATCTCCGCGAGGAAGTGCATCTTCAGCGAGACGACGTCGTTGCGCTCGGTCGTCGATCGGTACTCGCGTTCGGCGACGAGCCGCAGCACGCGCTCGACGCGCGCCAGCTCGCCGAGCATCAAGTCGCCGCCGCGCTGCAGCCGCCGCACGACGCTCACCGGGTGCACGTTGGCGGCCGTCACGAGCTCGTGCACGCGGCCGAGCAGCGGCGGCGGCAGCTTCGGCTCGGCGTCGAGGCCGCGCGCGCGCGTGTAGTAGGCGAGCTCGTCGCGCGGGTAGAAGTTGTTGATGAGAGCGACGACGCGGTGCTGGCCGACGAAGCCGGCCATCTGCGCGGCGGTGCGCCGCACGGAGTTGGTCGCCGTCGTGCGTGCGCCGGACTCGAGAAGCACGCGCGTCGTAGCCTCGCTGCCAGAGAGCGCGGCGAACATGAGCGCTGTGTAGCCGTGCTCGTGCCGGTTGCTGTTGATGTCGGCGCCGTGCGAGAGCATCAGCTGCGGAGAGAGAGGACGTGGTGTTAATTACACTGACAGAGAGAGAGAGGAGGGGGCGAGAGAGGAGAGAGGGAGAGAGAGAGGGAGAGAGAGAGAGAGAGAGAGAGAGAGAGAAAGAGAGAGAGAGAGAGAGAGAGAGAGAGAGAGAGAGAGAGAGAGAGAGAGAGAGAGAGAGAGAGAGAGAGAGAGAGAGAGAGAGAGAGAGAGTGTGAGAGAGAGAGAGAGAGAGAGAGAGAGAGAGAGAGAGAGAGAGAGAGAGAGAGAGAGAGAGAGAGAGAGAGAGAGAGAGAGAGAGAG